ACAACGACAACAACAACAGCTTTTAGTCTGTTTTTGTCTTTGTGTGTAAGATGTGTCTCTTACAGTCAGCATATTGGAAGGATCTTGTTTTCTTATTCAGTCTGCCATTCTCTGTCTCTTCACCGGTGTATTCAATCCATTGACATTCATTGTAATTATTGATAGGTATGAATTAATTGGTGCCATTATATTAATTTTTTGGTAGTGCTGTTCATTCCTTTGTTCTGCATGCTTTCTTGTGTTTTTTGTGCTATTTCTTGTTGGTTTCCTCTTAGTTTTCATGTTTTGCTTGGAAATTTGTTTTCATGGTAAGTTGTGAAGTATTAACTTTCTTTGGGGTTACCTTATAGTCTATTAACTTTTCTCTCCATTTAACAGACTCTGTTGTGTCCTGTAATCTACCTGACATCCTCACTACCTGGATCTCTGATTTTACATTTATCCCTTCTTTGACATTGATATTATTTTGATCTTCAGTTGACCTCCCAGCTCTTTTGAAATTGTTGTTGTAGTTTTGTTCTGTTCTGAACTCTGCTATCTGTCAAATGAGTTCTTGGTGGTGTTGCCACGCCTGTCAGTCTCTGGTTTTTGTCTGTTCTTGTTCATTTTCAGGACAAAGAACTCCCTTTAGGATGTTTTGATGTGTTGAATTGGTTTTGACAAAATTTCTTCTATTCTATTTATCCTGGAATGTTTTGATTGTACCATCATATTTGATTGATTGAGAGTTTTGTTGGATAGATGATTCTTGGTTGGCAGTTTTTTTCTTTTAGAGTTTTGTATATATCTCCCCATTGCCTTCTTGCCTGCATGGTTTCTGCTGAGAAGTCAGAGCTTAATCTGATTTCCTTGTGTTTGTAAGTGACACTTCTCTTTTCCCTGGCCGCTTTTAGGATTCTCTCCTTGTCTTTTATTTTGGAGAGCTTGATTATTATTATATCTTGGTGACTTTCTTCTGGGCTCTGTCCTTTCTGGGGTATGTTTGGCTTCTTGAATGTTTATCGTCTCATCTTTCAAGTTGGTAAGGAAATTTTCTTCCAGAAGCTCTTCAACTATCTCCTATGTGGACTTCTGTGATTCTTCCTGTTCTGGGATGCCAGTAGTTTTTAAGTTGTTCCTCTTCATGTTCTCCAGCATGAATCTTAAACTCTCTTTAGATTTTTTTATCCTGCTCTTCTATCGTAGCAGTATTGAGAGATTTGTCTTCCAGCTCGATTGTTATGGCTTCCATATCTTCTATTCTGCTCATTTCCACTTTCAGTGTATTTTCCATTTCTTATATTTTATTATTATTCACCTGGACCTCTTTTTGCAGGTTTTGAATTGTTTCCAATGCTGTATCATTCTTGTTTGATTGCTCTTGTAGTACTTTCCTGACTTCTTCTTTGTTTTCCTCCACCCCTTTTCGGAGCATTTGAATTTGCTTCCATGTCATTCTTCTGAATTCTTTCTCAGGCAAATCCAAAACCTCCTCTTGCTCTTCTGGGAGGCTCACTTACTCTTTTCTGTTTTTAGACATGTTTTGAGGTCTTTTGTTGTGTTTTGTTTGTCATTTCCAGTAGTTAAGTGGGTTTTTTAATGCTTAAATGCATATTTGTTGTTGTGTTATTAAGCTTCCTGGCTGTCTCCTGGTGGATATGATCAGGAGATATGCTTCCCTTTTTGCATGTAATGCTTAGCAGCTATTATTGGCTCTTGTCTCAATGGTGGAATATTATGGGGTATGCTTGTAGCTTGGCTATATGGCCAAATTGCTGACTCTTCTTGGGTAATGTAGGGAGAAAAAACTCCCACCTCCAGGAAAAATGTGTGATCAAAAGGACCACAAGCAGAAGCAATGTAAAACTGTGGCCAACTGTCCAATCGCCTTGCTACACAGGCGGTGTGTGTGCACTGTAGAAGCCTGCAACTGTGGGTGAGGGGTTTCTGCTCTCTCAGGCCCCTCCTCTAGTCACCTCTGTAGAGGTGCATAGATAGATATTGAGAAGTTAATGGGAGAAAGATTGTTTCTATTTTTGTCTGTGATGATCCAGTGCTCCAGTTACTGTTCATATATACCAGCACTTAGTTTGATAAATCTTCTCACTTTTAGCCATCCTAGTGGGTGTGTAATGGTATCTTGTTTTTTAAAATAATTTATTGTGCTAAAATATATTTTAAATAATTAGCCATTTTAATAATTTTTAAAGCATACAATTTGCTGACATGAATTACAGTTGATATGTTGTGCAATCACAGCCCTCATTTCTAAAAGTATTTCATTATCCCAAAGATAAACTTAGTTCCCCTTAAACAATGCCATTTGGTTTTAGTTTGCATTTGACTGGATATTTAATGATGATGAATATGTGTCCATGTGTTTCTCAGCCATTTGAGTATTTCCTTTTGTGACATATAGGCGTAACTCTCTTCATTGTGTTCAGCAGATAATGCATATTTTGCTAATGGATGGTTTGTGGCAGTCTGTGTTGAGCAAGTCTATATGTACCATTTTTCCAACCACATGTTCGCACTTCATATCTCTGACACATTTAGGTATTTCTCAGATTCCATACTCTTTCATAATGATGATGTTGCTTATTTAATAAAACTACCAAAGCCAAACCCACTGCCATCAAATTGATTCTGACTCATAGCTACTTAGGCACTGGGAAACCAAAAATTTAGTGTGACTCACTTTATTGTGGTACTAATTTTATTGCAGTATTCTGGGGTCAAACATCAATATCTCTGAGATATACCTATTTCTGAGTCATGACAATTTTTAAGGAGTCCTGGTATCACTGTAGGATGGATAAGCACTGGACTGCAAGGTCAGGAGTTCAAACCCACCAGCCACTACACTGGAGAACGATGAGACTTTTCTTTTCTCGTAAAGATTTATAGGCATGGAAACTCAATACAGGGTCACTGTGAGTTTTAATTAATTTGATGGCAGTGGATATACCACTGTTAAATTGGATTGTTGCCCTTTTGTTACTGATTTGCACATCGTTTGTCAGATACATTGAAAACATTTTACCAATTATGTGGTTTGCCTTATCAGTTTGTTAATGGTGCATTTTGATGAACAGAAATTTTAAATTCTGATTAAGACTGGTTATCAATTTTTTTGGTGTCCTAAGAAATCTTTGCCTACTGCAAAATTGCAATTTTAATCTCCTATATTTTCTTCTAGAAGATTTTGGGTTTTGTGTTTAGATTAATTATCTATATCCAATTTAGTTTTATTGATACATTTTATACCTCCCATTAATTGAAGAAATATTTCTTGAGTATCTGCTCAGTGTGAGACACTTTCTTGGTACTTGGTATTTATTAGTGAACAAAATGTTAAAAAGTCTCTTCCCTGGTGAAGACTACATTCTAGTAAAATTGGCAGACAATAGATGAGAACTAGTTAGTAAATTGTAGAGTATATTAAAAGGTGTTAGAAGAACCATGAGAGGAAACCATGATAGACTAAGGTATAAAGGGCAGTGAGAAGGTTTGTAATTTGAGATCAGGGTGGTAAAAGTATACCTCATTGAGGATCTTCCATTTAAGAAATGATGTAAAGAAATGAGGGAGTTAGTCAATTTGTAGCTCTCTGGAGGAAGAGTATTTTGGGCAGAGAAAACAAGTGGTGGAAAGGCCTTAAGATGGGAGCATGTCTGTCTTGTTTCAGTAATAATGTTGAGCGTGGTATAGGGTGGTGGTTGTTCTTAAGTACCATTGAGTCAATTCTGACTCTTAATAATCCTATATAGTGAGGAAATATGGGTAAGTAGATTACTTTTAGAATACTGTTATGACTCAACGCTTTCTCTGAGTTACATAGGTCACCATTTGTAGATTTGTAATTATATTTAAAAGGGAGTACTGGTGTGACACTGTGGGTTAATGCGATGGACTGCAAAGTTGGTTTCATCTGTAAGGATGGTGGTTCACACTCATCAGTTGCTTCTCGGAAACCCTAAACAGGGTCGCTATGGGTCGGAACTGAGTCGGTGGCACTTAACAACAACAGGGTATTTAATACACATTTCAGAACAGCCTTTATGTTTTCCTGAATATCACTTGTTGTTGTTGTTGTTGTTAAGTGCTGTCGAGTTGGTTCCGACCCATAGCGACCCTGTACAGGGTTTCCGAGGGTGTAAATCTTTACGGGAGTAGAAAGCCTCATCTTTCTCCCGCGGAGTAGCTGGTAGTTTCGAACTGCTGACCTTAAGGTTCGCAGCCCAATTCGTAACCACTACGCTGTCAGAGCTCCTTAGAGATTTCATATTACTGCTTCTTTAGACATACTGCCTCTTATCTGCCTAATATAGGAGTGAAACATTTTGTTTTTCTGACAGGTATACTTAACATGATAATTGTTTTGTTATTTCAGAAAGATCCTGATTACCTGAAGTTATGGTTGGACAGTTTTGTTTCTAGTTATGAACAATTCTTAGATGTTGACTTTGAAAAGCTGCCTACCAGGTATGTAGAATGCATTAATTTCCTTATTTGGGATCAGTTTATTTTTTTTGCACATGAGATTTCATAGATGACATATTACTAGGATGGCAACTATGTAGCACAAGCCATATTTCTGTGTAATCCTGTTCTCATAGTACATATTACTAACTAATAGCAATCTTTCTTGCTGATAACTATACGTGGCTTTTTGATGCCTCAGTATTTTTGGTAAATCACTACTAATAAATTGTTATTGGGCATGCAAGTTGGAACTTAATTGCCATTCCTGGACTTAGAAACTATCTTGGAGGATTTTAAAAAATCATTAAATGAAGAAAATGTTCAAATTATATTGAAAGGTGTGACTGAAAGTACAAATCTTTTTTCTTCTACTTCTCCATCTACCAGAGTTCCCCTACTTTTACAGTTCTCAGGACCACTATCTGGATGTAGTTTTTTTGTATTTTAGGCCATCTTGAATGACTTGTAGTTGTTAGTCAGGCAAGAAAGGTTGACTGGGATAAGAAACAGGAGAAATTGAGAGGCTTTTAACTACAAAAGGACCTCCATTATGGAGATGTGTCATAGTGGAAAATGGGTGGTAGTTGATGATAAGTATAATTCTAGAGAGTTAAAGAAACTGCAAAGATGAGGAAAATGTGTTTGTTGTTTGGGATAGAGCTAGGAAGTAAGAGGGTGGTAGGTACAGGAGGGAGTCCTTGTGTGGCGCTGAAACAACTACATATAGGTGAGTTAAATCTGGAAAATCAAATAAGGACCAGATTGTGAAGAACCATGCATACAAATGTTAAAATGAATTTTTGTATTTTTTAAACGGAGGATAGGGGAGCTACTAAGGGATTTTCTATATGACAGTGAGATAAGTTTGTTTTTCAAAGTCACTTTAATGGCATTTTGAAGGTTGGATTGGAGAGAGATGAGACAAAGAAAGACAATTCAATCAGGAGGCAATTATAATAGTCCAGAGGAGAGATCATCAATTAGGACTTTGAATCATGGCACTTAACTCAAGAAGGATATGGTTGTGTTCAGCAGACTTCCTGGGCTTAGATGGCATTTCTCTTGGCCTAGGTGTTATTTGTGTCACAGGTCTCAATCTAGAAGTAGTTCTTGGAGGCCCTTGATGGCGCTGGTTTCAGTGTCTGTTAGGACCACAGGGCGTGGTGACTTGGTTAAATGCTGGTCTGGGTTTAGTGGTTGGTAATCTATTTAAATTATATTACATTTTTATAGTTTAAAAATATATTTCAGAGCATTTTCACATCAATTTTCTAATTTATAGCTCTGAAATAAGGCAGATAATATTACAATTTTATACATTTGGGAACTTTAGAGAGAAATGTTACAGAAATAGGACTTAGTACCCAGGTCTTCTGACTTTGAACTGAGATAGAGATTTTTATTGCAAGAGACACACTTTAGGATCCAGTCACATTTGATGTGGCTTTTTCCGTTAAAGAACCATGTAGCCTTCTAGCACAGAAATCAGTTTTCAAAAAATATTTACATAGTACTTGAAAATATTTTTCACTTCATGTTCAAACTTGGTCAGCATTCACCTTTTTATCTTTTCTTCTATAAAGATTTTATTTTTGATTGTTGGTGTATATATATATATATGTGTGTGTGTGTGTGTGTGTATATATATATAGGGAGTCCTGGTGTGGGTTAAGGCACCTCTGGGTTAATGCACCAGACTGCAAAGCCGTTTGAACTGCAAGGTCAGTGGCTCAAGCTCACCAGCTGCTCCTTGGAAACCCTATACAGGGTCACTATGGTTCGGAACCAACTCGACGACACTTCACAACAACAACAACACATATATATATTGGGAGTCCTTGTGTGGCAATGTGGGTTAATGCACCAGACTGCAAAGCCGTTTGAACTGCAAGGTCAGTGGTTCAAGCTCACCAGCTGCTCCTTGAAAACCCTATACAGGGTC